TCGAGTTTTTAGTTTTAGGTTTCTACAATAAAAAATTCTTAAAAAATGTAACATCTAACTTTTTCTGTTACAGTGAAAAGCTCTCAAAAAATGTCACATCTCAACTCGAATTAAAAATTCAAATCCGCAAAGCGAACGAGACCTTATAATTTTATCAAATTTCAGTAGGAATTCTTAAATTTTTATCAAATTTCGTTAAATTATTATATTATTTGTAATTAGAAAAGTGATAGTGACTCTAATGTACCCCACCCTATCAGTATTTGGGAGTGGAAAAGAAAGCTATATCTTGAAAATTATTGTGTATCATGAGTGCTCTTTATTCTTTGTTTCGTGCGGTGCTGAGAATAAAACCTAAGGATTTTTATTTATTTATTTTTTCTCTATCTTGAGACTTCGTGTATGTTGTGTGATATTATTTATTTGTTACATAAAATCCGCACATTTACTAGTTGATATTGAAATCTAGATTCTATAGTCTTTACTTTTTAAAAAAAAAAAAAAAAAGATTCTAAAGTCTTTAGAGAGGCGGGGGGGGGGAAAAAAAAAAAAAAAAAAAAAAAAAAAAAAAAACCGCAATCTTGATTATACAACAACTAATTAATTTAATTCTTTATACATTGCACATGCATTTGTTTAAGTTAAAATTACTCGTAATAGCTAATCCCAAAACATTGCCTTTTTGATCAAGTTATAGTTACATTTAATCTTTTACTATGGATAAATTATTGACATAGTTACAGAGAAAAGTGTCGAGTTTAAGTCCCTCTCACTCATACAACTTTCGAATATTTGTATTTCTGTCTTGATTTCTCTTTCAAATATCTCAAGCTCTCCACAATTTGAGTGAGAATCAATATAGAAAATTTCCATGTTTTTTAGAGTTTATAAGCAAGCTGGTTAATTGCCATTATGGCTGCAATCTGTTCAATCAATCCTTCTTTCTAGAGTCCCAATGGCTAATTCCACTGTTTTACCTAATAAGAACTTTATAGCGATAAAGAACTTAATTTACATTATTATTCTGTAATCTTCTGTCCATATAACACTTTTTTTATGCTGGTACCGAAAGGGATGTGCCTGTATTGGCATAGCAATATATATATATATATATATATATATATATATATATCCACATGTATCTTGAATGAGGAATAATTCATTAAATGCATGCCTCATTAATTTTCGTTGGAAGCTTCTGATTATATGTATACGTCGTTTCTAAACACGGACCAACAAAATTACAAGGTAAAAATAGGACAATTCCTAACCTCATAATTGTTCTGATGATCCATGAAGTGCATGTGCATGTGTGTTCGTGAATTGTCATTCCATGGTTTATATAAAATCGAAAAAAAAAATATAATTCCTCTCTAGTCTCTAATCTCTAATATTTTACAAAGATAGATGTTCCATTATTATTAATTCCCTTACATTAATATTTCATATATGTCATGATATCAGGAGATTTTATGTAAGTTTATAGTGATTCCATCGTGAACTCAAACAGAAATAAGAAACAAAAACCACGACGCCCTGCTCCCCATCAACCGCCTCGGTTCGAGGTTTTTTTTCCTTCGAGTACGGTCCACTCCTTTAATAAGACAAGGTCAAAATGACCGGCTTTCGTGAAAATTCCTTTGAGCGGTGCTTCTCCTGTCGATAAAGAGAGTGTTAAGTTAAGGAGTGTTTCTCGGCGTTCGGACGGCCCAGCAACGACAAGTTCAACTTCACACACCAAGGGTTGAACAAATCTCTACGCTTCATCACGGATGGGGGCATTAAGGAGTAGTCACCGCTCGTCTGCCATTAGCACTCGAGCCTCTTTTATCAGTAAAAAGTGTCATATGACGTTTATTTTGAATAAAGAAACAGAAAAACAGTCAAAATTAGAAAAATAATCTCCAAGAGAGAAATCGACTTAGTAATTGCCCTCCTTAATATATTACTTAAATAGAAAAGTATAAGAGATTTATGTTAAGAGAGCAGGGTCTTTTTTTATTTTTTTATTTTTGGAGGAAAGATAGGTGTTATTAAGGTAGACCAACTACATATATGGAGAATTTGTATAGTGCCGGGAGAAAGAATTTCTTGCACCATGTTAGATATATGATGATTTGTGTATTTTATATTGGAACTTGCAAACTTTAAATATTGGATTTACATAAAGTTACAATAAATTTGTGAATTTGATTAAAAAAAATATAATAATTTACATATTTAAATGATACCTGTAAATTTTAAAATTTGAACAAATAAACCTTAAAAGTCACGATAAATTTGTGAAAAGACCTTGTACGCTTCTATAGAGACCATCCAAGTTGTACTCATCTTGTAACCTGAAACCCAGAAAAGCCCAAGTTAAATAACTTCTTCAAAAAGTGAAAAAGAAAACATAGGCCCGTTCACTTTGCTTATTCGAGTTTAAAATTTAAATTTTATTATAGTAAAAAGTTCTCAGAAACAGTCACATTTAACTTTTTTATTACAGTAAAAAATTCTCCCATAAAATAACATCTCAACTTAAATTATAAATTCGAATCAACCCGTATATTCTTCCAAGCATAATGTTATTGAACCCCTCAAAATGCTTTGTGGTTAGCACCCGCCCATTGCCAGCTATATATATATATATATATGATGGTTGCTTCAGCTTCTTACTTTGCAATCCTCTAAAATAAGAGAATATGGACAAAAATGAGAATGAGAAAAGTAATACTTATAAAAACATAATTCCAGGGTAATTGGTACTTGGCAACTCCACGCAATTTGATTCATTTTCTTTTTACGGTAGAAATAGTGTTCCACTCCATTTTACGCTAACGCGATAACATTCAATGCAAGAAGGCAATGATTGACATTGACGTAAAATTTGCCTAATCATAACGACTTAACGACCACCATTTCAACTGTTGATATCTTCGTAACTACTGGCAAATATAAAGCGGACATATTGGGCTAGTTTAGCCACAGTTCAAAGTGAAGAAAAAGGGCCCTTTCGGCCCAATAGTTTTATGACAAACATGGTTCAATGACATAAGATGTCTAATTATTAGTCTCAATTTTAAAAAATGTTTTGCAATTTTATTTTATTATAAAATTGTGTAAAACATCATTTATTTCATCGATTTGAGTTTAAAATTTATGTTTTGTTATAGTAAAAAGTTCTAAAAAATAGTCACATTTAGGCTCCGTTTATTTCACCGATTCGAGTTTAAAATTCGAATTTGCTACAATAAAAAGCTCTTAAAAACAGTCACATCTAACTTTTTTATTACAGTAAAAATCTCTCACATAAAGTCACATCTTAACTTGAATTAAAAACTCGAATCAGTGAACTAAACGAACCCTTAACTTTTTTGTTATAGTAAAAAGCTCTTACACAAAATCACATCTCAACTCGAATTAAAAATTCGAATCAGCGAACTAAACGAGATCATATGTATAATGATACTACTCTCCCTAATTTTAGTCCTATAAAAAGTATAGTTTTATAATGATAAAATAAGGTTTAGAAATTAAAAGGGTCGAAAGGGTTATGCATATTTCTGCAAATAAATTCATTACCATAATATTTGAAAGCTTTCAATCATTTATAATAGCACTTGAAGGAAAAAGGAAAATTGGAAAAAAAAAAAAAAATTAAGAAAGATTTGGCCTCTTGAGCCTGTCTATTCCTCTATTCTAAAGCAATTATCTGTGGAATGAAAACTACATTCCAATATATCCCTTAAAAAGGGGGAAATGAATAATAAAGCATGATACTGAAAGCTTAGGTATACGATTGGGGGGTACCTCTGTTGTGTATAATAAGACATACCTGTCTCTTTTGATCCACCTGAAGAAGAAAAAGAAAAAAAAAATTATATAATGATAAGACATACCTATCTTTTTTGATAAAAAATTATATAATGATAAGACATACCTATCTTTTTTTATTAAAAAATTATATAATGATAAGACATACCTATCTTTTTTGATCCCCCTACTCTATTTTTGCTACGACTCTATCTGATTTCTATGGTAACACATTTATACTTGTTCTTTTGCTTTTTTGCTGAAATTATGCCAACATATGCGAATCAGTACAAATATGTACAACATTTAGATATTAAGAGAAAAGAGAAAACATGTATAAATTTATTTTCTGAGTTAGGCTTCTATAGTGGAAAATGTTTATTATTACACGTTTTTAAATGTAATGCAGCATTATAATAAAATGACATAGAAATATAAGAAAATACATAAAAACCTAATTTTTTAGAACAATATGCACTAAGATTTTTTTTTTTTTTTTTTTGTACTTTCCATATTTAATCACAAGGTGCAAGTAAACAGAATACACAAGAATGGAGGGCTTATACAAAAACGAAAATTGCAGCTAGTGCAGACTTTAGCATTTTCTTAACAAACTTCTAGCCAAAAATTCGAAATATAAAAAAAAAAAAAAACCCCCTTCTAGCCAAATGAATTTGATTTTTCTTTGACTTTTTTTTTATGGTACGACCCCTTAAAATAACTTACTGGTGAAACACCTTGTTTTGACTTTTAAATTACTTTTTCAACGGTCAACTGCAGAGAGAACAGTTCTATATAGCGAACTGTAAATTTTTATTACGGATCTGTATAAATCTGACTGTTAAAAACTTAATCTAACAATTAAAACAGAGTTTTATTATTTAATTTTTTTTAAGAAGTCTCACAGTAAAAACTTTTTTTTTAAGATAAAAAAAAGGCCTTAATAATAGTAAACCTAGCTAGCCAATTCCCCGTCATAGGTGGACCCATTGAGGCTGGTAGTTAAGGAGTGACAGCAATCTGTTAATATATACACTAATCCTCTATATTTATTGATTGATTGGCAAAAAAGAAGCATTACTTGAGAGAAACGAAAAAACCAAAAAAAAAAGTTAAGAATTCAATCAGGCAAAGGCAATTAGCAGATAGAGACTAGATAGTTATAATTGTATAAAGATGAAGAGGAAGAAGAACACATTTGACCTTGTAAAACCACGTCTCCCTTAATTATAAATAAAAAAAAAACAAAAAAACAAAAAAACCACGTCTCCCTTGAGAAAATCCCCTTCACACCTAAAATCTCCCCAGACTCAGTCGCAATTAAAGCACCCAAAATTTCATTAAAAGAAATCCCTGATTCTATCTCTTCACAATTCATATTTGGTCTCTCTCTCTCTCAGGCCCGACCCATTTAGATTGGCCAAAATTTACCATTTCCAGCTCATCTCTCCCCCTCTTAGTCTAAACAACCCAACTTGCCTCCTCCATCTACTCCGTCTATCACGACCCAGAGAGAGAGAGAGAGGAGAGAGAGGAGAGAGAGAGAGAGATTCCAGAGAAAACCCACTTCTCCTTTTGATCTGATCTCTCTGTTTTTGGGGCTTGTGAGTTGGTCCGCCATGGCGGACATAGTGAAGCAGATCCTTGCCAAGCCGATTCAATTGGCGGACCAGGGGATAAAGGCCGCCGACGAGGCGAGTTCCTTCAAGCAGGAAGGCGGCGAGGTCAAGGCCAAGACGGAGAAGCTCGCGGGGCTGCTGCGGCAGGCGGCTCGCGCCAGCTCCGACCTCTACGAGCGGCCCACGCGCCGGATCATCGACGACACCGAGCAAGTCCTCGACAAGGCCTTGTCCCTCGTCCTCAAGTGCCGAGCCAACGGCCTTATGAAGCGAGTCTTCACCATCATCCCCGCCGCGGCCTTCCGCAAGATGTGGTCCCAGTTGGAGAATTCCATTGGCGACGTCTCCTGGCTTCTCCGGGTCTCGGCTCCGGCTGATGCCCGCGACGACGGATACCTTGGCCTGCCTCCCATTGCCGCCAACGAGCCAATTCTGTGCTTGATATGGGAACAGATTGCCATTCTCTTCACCGGCTCGCTCGAGGGCCGATCCGACGCTGCAGCCTCGCTGGTTTCGCTTGCCAGGGACAATGATCGGTATGGGAAGCTCATCATTGAGGAAGGAGGGGTTGGACCTCTTCTGAAATTGATCAAAGAGGGTCAACTGGAGGGCCAGGAGCAAGCCGCCAGGGCAATTGGGCTGCTCGGGCGTGACCCCGAGAGCATCGAGCACATGATCCACGCCGGTGTCTGCTCCGTGTTTGCGAAAAGCCTCAAAGACGGGCCGATGAAGGTTCAGGCTATGGTGGCGTGGGCGGTGTCCGAGCTTACCGCGAACTACCCTAAATGCCAAGATCTTTTTGCCCAGAACAACATAATTCGTTTGCTTGTTGGCCATCTTGCTTTTGAAACTGTTCAAGAGCATAGTAAGTACAACATCAACAAAACCACGTCTATCCACGCCGTTGTGGTTGCCAGCAACAATTCCAACAACAACGATATGAACAAGGCAAACGGCGATGACAAGCAGAACCAGAATCAGATTTCTCATCCACTCGGAAATCGCAGCCCAAGCCAAATGTACAATGTGGTTACCAACACCATGGCGATGAAGGCAGGGTCCAAACCTCTCCAACAGATAAACAACGGCGCAAATCAGACCAACCAGGCCAAGAACAACAACAATGGCAACGCAAAGCAAAATTATCAGCACCAACCGCACAATCAGCAGAATCTTTCCCTCTCGGGGACAAGCATTAAGGGAAGGGAATTGGAAGACCCTGCCACCAAGGCCAACATGAAAGCCATGGCAGCAAGAGCACTTTGGCTTCTTGCCAAGGGAAACTCATCTATTTGCCGCAACATAACGGAATCAAGAGCGCTGCTATGCTTCGCGGTGTTACTGGAGAAAGGACCTGAAGATGTCAAATACAATTCGGCTATGGCATTAATGGAGATCACAGCAGTCGCAGAGAAAGATGCTGAGTTGAGAAGATCTGCATTCAAGCCGAGTTCACCCGCTTGCAAAGCCGTAGTTGATCAATTGATAAACATCATTGACAAGGAAGATTCAGAACTCCTGATTCCATGTGTCAAAGCTATCGGGAATTTGGCGAGGACATTTCGAGCCACGGAGACAAGGATAATTGGCCCATTGGTGAAGCTGCTTGACGAAAGAGAAGCTGAGGTTTCTAGGCAGGCTTCAATTGCACTCGCAAAGTTTGCCTCTTCGGTAAACTACCTTCATCTGGATCACTCCAAGGCAATAATTAGTGCTGGAGGGGCTAAGCACTTAATCCAGCTAGTGTATTTTGGAGAACAAATTGTTCAAATCTCTGCATTGGTTCTCCTGTGCTACATTGCACTGCATGTACCAGATAGCGAAGAATTAGCACAGGCCGAGGTCCTGACCGTGATTGAATGGGCAACAAAGCAAGCTTACATGAACCAAGACGAAACAATTGAGATATTGTTGCAGGAGGCCAAGAGTAGGTTGGAGCTTTATCAGTCTAGAGGCTCAAGGGCATTCTATTGATTCCAGAAAAAAAAAAAGGTTTAGTAGTTTCGTGTAATTGGTGAAAGAAAAGAATTTTCATTATTTTATTTCTGTTTGGTCAATCTCATGGAGTGTAAATACAATTACTTGCCCTTTGTAATTGTTTAAAAGATTCTCAGTCCTTTGAGGAAGCTGTTTCTCTCTGTGTTTTGTTTCTCCCACCTCAAACATGAACCTATCTGCATATACTACTTTCGGATTCTAGAACTTTCCAATCTTCCTTTTCTTTCCCTCAACCTTCCGGGGAATCCAGAAATAGAGTAGACAGTTTTTACTTTTTCGGGTCCAAATTCTCCTAAAAATGCTGAAAATGGTTAAATATTGCGTTATATGCAGAAAAACTACAACATAGCTCTGAAGAGAGCTTTTTTTTTGCATGATTTTGAAGAGAGAGCTTGGGAAGAGATAAGATGAGGAAGAAATGTTCAAAAGATAGTTGTTTTAACTTTTAACAGAGGTACCACCAAGGGTCGTGGTATAGTGGGGAGGGCGTCTTTGTTAGGTTTTTTTTATCTATCTTCTCAAAGTTTGATACTCTGTATGCGGGCGTTGCTTTCCTAGCCCTTGTGAGAAATTAAGTGGACCTCTCCGCGCCTCACAGATGATCAGTGAAAGACTAGTTTAAATTTTTTCCACATACTCGGTGATCCTCAAAATTACTTACTATAGCTAAAGGGGCTAAGGAACATGAATTGCACCATCCGATCTTTTTTGAGTAGGGGAAAAAAACACTTTTAACAGAGGTAACAATAAAATAATCCTCAGAGAACATCTTTAGATTAAGACTAGAAGTAAGAATAGAGGCTTAAATGGGTGGAATACTGTTCAAATAGGAACAGCCACTGGCCGCTATGAGGATACATCTCTTGTGGCGCTGCTTTAAATCGTGTCTTCATAAAAAATCTCCTCTGACTCCTTAGTCCTTACTAATTACTTATTGGGTGTTTCTCTTCTTTTTTTTTTTTTTGGGGGTTTTTTTTTTTTTTTTTTTTTTTTTTTTTTTTTTTGATAAGAGGGTTTTTCTATTGGTCTTTCTAAAAATAAATAACTAAAAGCGTGTTTGTATTGTTAATAATCTATTAGAGTAGCATCTAAAGGTGGCTGTGGCTGTCAGTTATATAAAACCCAAATTTGGATGCTCTGGTGTTGTATACATTTCTCACCTTTCAATGTTCGAACCAGTCCATGGTAACTACGAACTTTGAAAGAGAATGCTAATGAGAGAGGAAGAAAAAGGTGACAGTGACATATAAATGGTTGATGTAAATGGAACGTCTATGACTCTTATGTATTTCTACACTTTTATCCCACTAAAAAATTGGAAAAAAACAAAACAAAACAAAAATAATGTATTCGAAAAGGAGACTGGGATCACTAGCTGACATACATCTATAAGGACTTGGGAATCTCTTCTGTTTTAATCAGAACGGAGAAAAAAATAAGTTTTACTGAAAATACAGAAAAGTTCTCGAAGGTCCATATCCTAAAATGCTTCTCTCGATTCTTCTTTCTTTTAAGGAACGAATCTGCACACAATCCAATTATTGTATTGTTCAACTTTCTGCATGGCAGCTCATGATTCATATGCAAGTATTTAGCAGCTCTCTTCTGGGTAAGGAAATAAGCACTAGAAGACAACTTTCCTTTGACGAACAGAACTACCGTGAAATATCCAATTCAATTAATACAAACAAAATACGACAGAGAATAAATAAAGGAATTCTGTCCTCAAGCTAAATGGTAGCATACGAATTTTCAAACCCAAATAAACACATTTTATGCTAATCTTTGCATGTATAAAAAAAAAAAACGGAACTAAAGGATTCTCACAAAGTCGTACACAATGAACAAGTCAATGTCAAGCTGCCTATAAAAGAACTCTTCCAAGGGAATATTAAAGATATTATTACGTCATTGGCATCATGGTGGAAGAAATTTTACTTAGTCAATAAAGAATATTAAATTGCTAAAAGAATGGTAAAAGTTCATTGGGAAATCAAATTCATTCAACACCTATCGACTATCGTCCTATCATGTGCGATAGTAGACATTTAGGAGTTCAAAAAATATAAAAAAGAGCAGCAAACTGGTTTCTAATTTAAAGAGAGGAGGCTGTAAATAAAACTCGATTAAAACAGGTCATAAATAGTGTGCTTGGTTCTAAAGAGATGAACAAGAAGTTCGAAATAATAATGTTCACGACTCACCACTTGGGCGGTAGGTACTGTACAAGTTGTACAGAGACTGGACAAGTTGTGCTTGTGTAGAGACCACACTGACGAGGTCAACCCACCAATAGGATCCTTTGAAACAGAGTAGTTGCAGTAGAATTAAAAGGAGAAGATTAAGAAATAAATCCTTGATTGAGAAAGCAAGACGTGCTAACCACAAATAATAACAAAATCTAATTGGATAAAACTGAAACACAAAATATTAAAAGTAAGTGACTTATTTTATTGTTAATAATTAACTTAAAATCTCTAAATTTAAAGAAGTTCACATAAAATTCCAACAAAAATGAATTCCAAAATTGGTAAAAACAACGTAATTCTGCTGCATCATATAGACTGGGAATTGTGCAATCACTAAATGATAAAGGATTCGGATTTGAATTGTATGATATATATATATATATATTTAACAATCTACATTATGTACATCTCCTTTAAAATACAAAACATCATATAATTGCAATAATAACAGCTGCCTGGATGCTGGGGTCAATAATTCTATTTTCAGTGCATCACCACCAATACAAAACATAATGAGACAAAGGATGCCCCAGAATACAGGGTGGATAAATTTTAGACGCTGAATAAATGAAAACCATACAAACGCCAAACATATCCTAACTTTATGTTTGTTTTCTTGAGACATCCACACAACATGACCACTTGATGGCCCTGTTTGAAGTGCATATATTCAGTCTTACACTTTCATGGGCCAATTCATTGAATATACAAATTTTAAACTACATAATGCACAGAATAAATCCTCTCAAATACGTATGCATATACATACATCCATACGTATATATGGGCTTGTATAGTTGCTGGGACTCTTAAGATAATATTGATGCAACACAAATCTAGAATGTAGTACCCACTGCAAGTCAGTCAATGGCTAAGCATGTCATGGAAATTATACACAAATCCCCATGGGACCCGTAAGCCGTAACCCACATGAGCACGCAAAAAGAGTGGCATTTGGCAAATCTTTGTTAATTAGACAATTGCCACGATCTTTTGCGGTTTGTGCCTGATTCTGCCCCATAATTGGTATTGTTTACTCAAAGAAAAAATGGAGAGAACATGAAATTTCCATAATAATTAACACAGTGACAACAAAAGATCTGATAAATGCTTGATAATCATAACTGAAAAAACAAGAATACAAGTCAATAAGACGTTTTAATTCATATTGACATGTCAAGTACCTTATCTAAGTTTGTCAGTTAACTCATCAATCATCACCCTTTTCCTTTTATACGATTAAGATCTGGTACAAATGCATCATTAGGAAAATTGCTGAGAACATAACATAAGACTCCAAGGAGTTTTGAGTAATTCAATTACAGCATCACTCATTTGAATTAATAAGGCATTGAGATGCATCTTTTATGAGAATGTATTATGCGAAATGCAAATACAAATATGCACAAGTTGATCACCCTTTTCTTCGCTAACCTTTTCCCCAACTTTCCTACAGAAATGAAAAAAGCTGTTTCAAATTGAAAGGCTGCATTGCCGATATCAAAACTGCGTAACTAACTATATCAAATTCTGATAATCAAAATATCATAAAGATCTCAAACATCCACAACTGCTTTTGGAACTGCGGTTGTAGCAACTGCAACAGACTCCTAGTGCAATAACATGAAAGAAAAATATTATTCCAACGCTTTTCAGCTCAGAAATTTTTAAAAACTGCACAGCAATCAAAGACGCAATAAAATAAGGAGACTTGTTTCTTAGTACAAGTCTACATGGAATTCCATAACCAAGAAATCTAACATGGCTGAAATGTATAACAAACAACCAGGAAAATACTCAACAAGCCACAAGGAATTACTCACTCCTATAGAGGATTAAAAAAAAAATTACTTAGTGAAGAATAACTAAAACCAGTTGAAATCATGAGACAGAGACTGGACATATGATAACAAAACCTCGTGATGCTTAACAAATGCGAAACACACTGGAAAACAATTGGAATCCGAAACAAAAACCAGAGACAATTACTTGTATACTCTTCATCTAGATGAGACCAAAATGAGGGAGAAAACGCGCGTACACAAAAGAAAATTGAAGCAAAACTTTCAAAATCGAATTGACTTGTGCATCTACCATATTAACAAAGGAAACGCCAAATGTCGAATGAGATTTTATATTATTTCCGCGAATTTTGACAAAAAACAAAACCAGCAAAATTGTTCTTCCACTTTTGAAATAAAAATTCAATTTCTCCTACAGAGGAATGAGAACAATTTACGCAAATCAATTATACACTCATGTTTTTCTCAATCTCACGACACTTCTCCGCATTACGCCTCATCACGATCTCCAATTTTGTATCGCATTAGGCAAATCAAATCGACAGCGAATTTCAGTTGATGAAACGAAAACGAGAGCACAAATCACTCAACTTGCATTTTTCAAAGGAATTACGAATGGAAATCATCGCCATAGCAGCAAAAAAGAAGCAAACCAAATCTCAACCATTATGAATCGAAATTCAAATTGAAAATGAAAAACAAGGAAAAGAAAAATACCACACAGATAGAAGACGAGGTGTTTTGGACCTCACCGAGTTGCCGAGCGGATCCAGAGAAAAGAAGAAGAAGAATCGTTCGAATTCCATAGTGTTTGGCATTGCGAAGATTTGCAGAACTCAGAGAGAGATAAGAGAGGGATCTTTTTTGTTTTTTTTTTAGCGCGATTTTGAAGCGCGCAGTTTCTCTTTCTGTTTCGCCCCCAAATTAGGCGAACCTTTTTTTGATGAAAACCGTTTTGTTCGTCTGTTGACAGACTTAGGCCTTAGTTGCGTAGACAAAGCCCATTGAAAACCAGGCCTGATAATTCTATGTAGATGGCGTAATCTTGAGAAATACTTGTACGAGTCATTTTTACTTTTTATTTTTAATTCATAATTTTTTTTGGTTAAATAATTACATTAATAAAAGAGTATTTATAAAAAATAAGAGGTAAATATTTAAAATTATGCACTCTCAAAGATAAATTCTCTATTTTTTTCTCTAGAGGATGGGATGAATTCCATCCAGTTAAGCAAAACCTATTTGGCTTGGCCATCCCTTTACAGACCAATATACTCTTTAAGAAAATTTTGCAATTTTTTCCTAATTTTTCAATTTTTTTTAATTTTTATATTTTCATAAGATGAAGAGAAAATAAACTTACCATTTTGACTAATACACTATTATACTTATTGAGATATAGAGATAAATGACCCCCTTTTTAAGGATTTTAATTTTAAAAAAAAGCTAAAGTTTTATAAAATTAGCAATATGGTTGTTTCTTTTATTAACTTAGTAGTCAATCACTGATTAATTTTGCGGTCAATCATTAATTGACTTCAATTCATCACTAATTAACTCGATGATCTTCATTATTAATCAATATCAGTTAATAATTATTCAAAATCAATTTTAATTAACAAATTACATGTTTTTTGTTGATATATTATTGGTAAATTATAATACTAAATCGGCCAATCAATCGGTAAGCCCACGATAACAATTATGGAAGACTTTTTTTTGCTTTTTATTTAACTTTTTGGAAAATAGTAGAAAATAGGCCAATATAAAAAATTTAAGAAAGTATATAGGCCAATTTTTAGTTATAAAAATTAATAGGCCATAACTTGTCAAGTTATGGTTCATAACCAGATAAGTTATGGACAAACTTGTCAAGTTATGGTTCATAACCAGACAAGTTATGAACGAAAACAGTAATTTGACCTATTTATTAACTTATATAAACTATTGACCTATTAATTTTAATTCACCTCAAGTCTTGTCTTATTTCTCCCTTTCTCCCTAACTTTTTTAACTAAGGAGAAAAGACTTTTACCGATTCTCATTTCCCAAAAAAAAAAGGGGGGGAAATGAGTAAAAGATAGAAGGCTCTTTTCAATATGTAATTTACTATAGCAAAGACCAATTATGTAATTTACTTGAAAAAATAGAGAACTTATCTATAAGAGTATATGAGTATGAATTTTTACCATTTACTCTTGATAAATAACTTTTTATTAGTGTAATTATTTAACTAAAAAGATTATGAATTAAGAGTAAAAAATAAAAATCATGACTCGTACACTTAAAAGGTATTTGTCGAGATTACTCCATTTACTTTCTTCATATATTGGCAATGTAATATTAGGTAGTACGGCAGGATACAATCGGACCATAAAGCAAGAAAAAAAATCTCATTCAGTATTGGAAGTGTAAGCAAGTTAGTGCCCAAAATCACCCTCATCTTTTTGAAGGTCACTATCCATTCCCACTTCAATATTATTAATTTATTACCCTTTGGACATAGAGAATCTAAATATCAAAAATCCATGGAATCAAGTGGTTAAAGAGTACCAGAGAGGACACAAGGGGAAGTGAGAGTCATACATTACACAATAGACTTATCCTCACATCTACCACTGCATTAGCCTTGCAATCTCCTCCACCCAATTCTCATAATCCAAATATACCCAACTCATAAACCAAAACACAAAACACAAATACCAACAAAAAAAAAAAAAAAAAATACCTTACCATAAAACAAAACAATATCACATTTTTCTCTTCTCTCTTTCTTTTATTTTATCTCTTCTTTCTTCTTGCTCTTGCTCTTCATCAAAACATATCAATAGTTAGCCATGGCAGCTGCAGTAACTGCTGCTGTTTCATTCCCATCCTCCTCCAAGTCCACCTCTCTCCCCACCACAACCTCCATCATCTCACCTGACAGAATCTTCTTCAAAAAGGTAATAAATAATTAAGTATACAAAAAAAAATCACATTTTTTTTATAATAACATTTTGTTTCATTTTTTGTTTGAGTTTTGACATTATGGGTTTTTTTTTTTTTTTTGTTTTTTTTTTTGTTTTGGGGGGGTAAGGTTCCTTTGCAGGTGGGTGTTGGTGGAAGAGTGGTTTCAGTGAGAGCCCAGGTGACCACAGAGGCTCCTGCTAAGAAGGTTGAGAAAGTATCAAAGAAGAATGAGGAAGGTGTTGTCACTAACAAATTCAAGCCCAAGAATCCTTACGTTGGTAGGTGCCTTCTCAACACCAAGATCACTGGCGATGACGCTCCTGGTGAGACCTGGCACATGGTTTTCAGCACCGAGGGTATGTATCTATATCTATATAAATATATATATACACACACACACATGTATGTATATATGAAAAAGCATATATATACACTCATATTTATGTGATTCTTATGACATGTTTAGAAATTGGCAAATGATAATTTGTTAAGGGTAAAAAATAAAAGTTGGGCAAATACAATAATTTTAGTTTTTTTTTTTTTTTACCGGAATTTTTTGGGATGATTGGAAATTGGAAAATGGTACGTGTGGTGACAAAAAGGTTTCAACAAAATTGGATATATACACTAGTTAATATATACATATACATATATATATATATATACATATACATATATATATATATATACATATACATATATATATATATATGTATATTTTAACTTTTTGATGTTTGTTCCTTGGTATGGCATAGGTGAGGTTCCTTACAGAGAAGGGCAATCAATTGGAGTGATTGCTGATGGTGAGGACAAGAATGGAAAGCCTCACAAGCTGAGGTTATACTCAATTGCCAGCAGTGCCCTTGGTGATTTTGGTGACTCCAAAACTGTGAGTTTTTTTTTTTTTATTATTATTTTTTTCTTAGTCTTGATTCATTCACATTTTTATTGGCAAAGGCTAAATAAATTTAGAGCAGAAAGAAAACTTTTATATTTTGTTATGCAACACTTTTGTTTCATTACATCACTTAAGTACTATAATGTTATGCATCCACGGTGGAGGAATTGATTCTTCCAAGGTTCGTGATATGAATATTTCTTGTTGCATTTTTGAGAAACTTTTATGCTTATGTGTGACTCATTTTTTTTTAAAATTATTTCTTTTTTTTTATTATCGTTGTTTAAGTTAATTTACTGGCTGGGTGTGATTGTGTTTACTCAGGTGTCTCTCTGTGTGAAACGGCTTGTTTACACCAACGACCAAGGAGAAATTGTTAAAGGAGTCTGTTCAAACTTTTTGTGTAAGGATCTTCTTGTGCGTGTATATGTATATGTATATATATACACCATATTGACTGAACATGGTTTTTAGTCGTTGAATTTTCATCAAATTTCATTAAAATTATCACATTTTTCTTAAGCTGATATGAGTCTAATATGATATGACAGTTTAAAACTACGCACATAATTTTCCGGAACAAATCTTGGAAATGTCTCACTGGTGAGCTTTTTTCTTCTTTAATTTTCAGGTGACTTGAAGCCTGGGGCTGAAGTTAAGATTACTGGACCAGTTGGAAAAGAAATGCTTATGCCAAAAGACCCCAATGCCACTGTTATCATGGTATAAAAATTTGCCATATTAAACAATTACAAAACTTTCAACATTATATCGTTATGTTATGAAAATTTATATCCGCTTCCATTTCTTGATTTTATTTTTTCTTTTCTTTTCATTGTAGCTCGCAACCGGAACTGGAATTGCACCATTCAGATCCTTCTTGTGGAAGATGTTCTTCGAGAAGCATGAGGATTACGAGGTAAACTTTTACCTGAATTTTTGTCGGGTTCACTCTGATTTTATTGATCTTTCTAATGAACGTGATCATCAAATTAAGTGTTAAACTTTTTGACATGTGTTGCAGTATAATGGTTTGGCGTGGCTTTTCTTGGGTGTCCCTACTAGTAGCTCACTTCTATACAAGGAGGTGAAAATATGTTGACAAAAAAAGCTTCCACATTTTATTGATCAAAGACTCTTCTTACCTTAAAATCATGTGCTTATATGCTTACTTTTTTTTTAACAGGAATTTGAGAAGATGAATGAGAAATATCCGGAAAACTTCCGGCTTGATTTCGCGGTGAGCCGAGAGCAGACGAATGAGAAGGGAGAGAAGATGTACATTCAAACCAGAATGGCTCAATATGCAGAGGAGTTGTGGGAATTACTCAAGAAGGAAAACACATATGTCTACATGTGTGGACTTAAGGGAATGGAGAAGGGAATTGATGACATTATGGTCTCATTGGCCGCCAAGGATGGTAAGACTTTTAGGTGCCGTTTGTTCTTAGGTTTGAATCCAAAGTTTGTTACAATATATTGGGTGCGTTTGGTTTCGTTTCCAAAACGTTTTTCACGTTTTTTAAGGAGAAAAATAAAAATTGAAAACGAAACGGTGTTTGTTTGGGAAATGTTTTGAAAACGAAAAACGGAAACGAAAACAGTGAGAATAGTTTTTGTAAAGGAATTTAAAAAACGGTTGAAAGTTGTTTTCATTTTCTAATACTTATCAACAATATTATAATATATTAATTAATAATTATAATCAAACACGATTTCACTATTTTATTATATTCAAAATAATATTTTAAAAAACTAACCAAACGTAATTTCATAATCGTTTTCATAATGATTCTCAAAACAATCTCATTTTTACTTTTTATTGAAACAAAATCATTTTAAAACCAATTCTAAATGCACCATTATCTCTCACAAAAATTTAAACTTACGGACCAAACGACACAATAACCTCAAAAAATGTTACTGTCATTTTTAGTATTGTTGCTCGTAGTTTATAACAACTTTATCTTAATTTTATTTAGAGGTTTCAACATAAACTTAAAATGTTAGACTTACAATTACTTCTAAAATAGTTATAAAAAATACTCAAAATTTTGAACTTTTATTTTAAACTCACAAAACATCATCATGCACAAGATATTATAATAATTTAAGAGTTAAATTCATTGATAATCCCTAAACTTTTTTCTCTTTACAATTAGTCTATGTAGTCAATTTTTCTCATGAACAGTTCCTAATTCCTGAACTCTAAAAGTGTCTCATAAATGATCTCTTTGTTAAATTTTAGATGGAAACTATTAACTTTGTCTCATAAAAGATCCTTAAACTATCTTCTCTCTATTAAATTTAATCCCTAAACTTAAAAAAAAAAACATATTATCTTAAAAATTATGAAATAAAAAAAAAGAACTAAAAAAGTCAAATAAAAAATTAAAAAATTAAAAATCTCTAAAGAACATCTTTTCCACTAAAAATATGAATCTAAAGAAATTAAATCTAAAAGTTCAACAACACATAAATTTCTCCTTAGTGTAAAAACACACAAAATATTTCAAGAGCAACAAAGGTAAGCCCATATCTGCAACAAGCGTCCAAGCCTGAGCACTGATCAAACCGCCGTCAATGAAGCCGAAAAGTGTCATTCCAAGATGTGAAATCCTCTTGAGTTCAAATCCAAAAGCCTTGCCGGAGTCGAATGAGGTTGGGGAGGGAAAGATGACCGCGATGGGTCGCGTGTGCGCGGCAAGAGTAAGGAAGAGAAGCAACGGAGGTGACGAGCAGATGGCAGGTGCCGACGAGCACGAGACTAGAGGAGTGTTGGCAGATCTAAAACAAAAAAATCTTCAGAGGGAGGGGAATTGAAAAGTCTTGGTTTTTTATTTTATTTTACTTTTTTCTAGATCTTAGAGGAATATATATATATATATATATATATGTGTGTGTGTGTGTGTGTATTGGTTAGTGGGTTTTGAAGCTTAGAGAAAAATTTGTAATTTTAATTTTTATTATAGTTATTGTTTCTCTTTAACATAGAAATTATTTTTAAAAAGAGAACATTTTATGAAATAAAATTAAAGATTTCTATCTAAAATTTATCAGAGCGGTCATTTATAAAACACTTTTAGAATTTAAAAACTGCTTATAAAAAAATTAACTACATAAACTAATTATAAAAAAAAAAAATTGAGGAACTATGAATTTAACTCATAATTTAACGGACAACCAATAACACATAACATACTGCACAAGATATTATAATAATTTAACTGACAAAAACTAATAACACATTAGTGAACTTTTTTTTGTTTTGTTTTTTTTTTTTTTAACACTTTGTAGGTATTGATTGGTTCGAATACAAGAAGCAGCTGAAGAAGGCAGAGCAATGGAATGTGGAAGTCTACTAATTTCTGATACCTTGTACAAAGTATCTTCCCCTTCTTACTTTCTCATGCGATTTCCCCAGTTTCCATTTCCACTGCATTGGTATTAGTGTAGATAGATAACGTCTTTGTAATTGGTCTCTCTTCTTTTGTTTTTACTTTTTTTTTTCTTTTTTTTGGTGCCAATTTTAAACGAAGCAGTTGTATTATTATGGCCTCGACATGAATTTTATTTCTGAGGAACCCTGGGAGAGGTTAAACTATAATGGAAGCAAATTTCAACTTTTTTCTATAAATGTTGAACGCTACCTGTCATAATAAAGTATATATCTATATATATTAACGAGTTTTTAATAATTACGTTTTTATTAATAATTATCTATAGAGTATGTTTGATTGATGGATCCAGAATCATGATTTTGAATCCCGGTTCAAAATTAATATTTGTTTACAGTGATTCTAAATCATACTTCTGAATCAGTATTTAATTTGGATGATTCTGAATCTGATGTGATATTTTAAACTAGCTCAAATCATGATTCTAAAACCGTTCTCATCTTGATTCAAGGTGATTCAAACTCCTAATTTTGAATTATGGTTTCAGAATTATGATTTGAATCCAAAATCATGAATCATTATTCTAATTCCAGAATCATAATTAGAATCACCTTGATTTAAATCATCGTATCAAACGAACCCTTACTAATTATCTATAATATGTATACATATGTATATATATATATATATATATAAGAAAATTAGTGGATTGAGGTTTCATGTAAGTAATAAACCTTGCCTTTAAAATGAGGGCCAGTTAGTTGAGAGTATACATCAAACTATAATGTTAGACCACTTATGAACATTTATCCTCCAAACTTCTTCTGTCCTGGTAAAAAAATAGGACAAATTTAGTACTGAACCAGAGATACAATTACAAGCAAAAATTTTTGGTAGTATCAGAAATTGCAAGAATTTTTATTATTTGCAAAGAAACCACTCTCTCACGCAGCTATAAAATGGGTTTTTTTTTTTTTTTTTTTGGTTGAATAACTAGGAAATGGTTTTTGAGTGCCGTCGAAGTTCTTACAATTGAGAAATAAAAATCTCCCATGATTCCAGAACAGAATTATATACGTATTTATAATTTATTTAAAAGTTGTAACTGGAAACATTCTAGGGGCTAAAAAAGAGATATGGACACAGAGACGACTTAAATATTATATACAACCTCTGCTTTTTAAAAAATGGGAAAAGAAAAAAAGGAGGAAAGAAATCTTGGCTATTATGCTGATTTTAGTATTAGCTAGTCGTTGGTTGCTATAACAAAACTAAAATAACATTTTATTTTCGTATAGTTTTTCACTATGTTCTTTTCTGTATGTATTATAATTTAGATTACACAATAAAACCAGAAAACAATTGGAAAATAAGAAAACAACATGAACACCTGAAAACCATAACTAATAAGAGAGCGGGTTTTCCCATTTTTGTGAACATGAAACACATTGTTGTCGTTTCGTTTTTGAAATCATGCCGTTGAACAATAAACGACCAGTAAAGGACATGTAAGTCGTAATTCTGTGGGCTGAGAACGACACATATCTGTTTTTAATAACATCAAAACGACATTTATATGTTTCGCGAAAACATGAGTACATGACAAGCTAATATCATGTCGTTTGACAGCCCCATAAACAATGTCTTCAAAAACAACATGTCACTTGTATGCTATCCCAAACAATAACTAACCGGGCACGACATTTCTGTTTTTATTCAGCAAATGACGACGTCCGTTTTTTTATAAATGCGAAAACGACATAATGTCATTTCTGAAATCATGTTGGTTGACGAAAAATAAATGGCAAGCCTAGAAAACGACATGCCCTTTGTGTGTTATTCTGAAACCAGAACAACTAATAACAAACGTCGTTGCTGTTTTCGTTGGACTTGAAAACAGGCGCTGGTGGTGGCCACTTGGCCGCCACTGCCAGTCGTCCCACGGACGGGCACAGTCGAAGGTCTAAGATCGCAATGTGATCAAGATCTACTGACGGGCACCGCCAAAGTAATGACTTTACACTAAATGGAATAAAATAAAAAAAAAATGCAAGAAGCAATGAATTGAAAAAAAAGATTTATATTCACTCTTTCTTGTCTAAATAAGTTGTTTAAACAAGGGTATATACACATAAAAACCAACGGTAACAAAGTATCTAATAAGAAAATCTCTTAAATTACCAACGGTAACAAATCATTTAAAAAAATCTTTATATCCACCTTGCCATAATTTAGCTTCAACGTTCAAATCCATTTAATGGTAATATGGCAAGATTTACTTCCTCCTTTTGCTCATCATTTTTGCCGTGAATTAACATGAATTTTTCATTGACTTTATCACAAGGTCCAAAAACGCAATGTGGCCAACTCCCACGGACGGGAACCGCGGAGGTCCGAGAATGTAACATGGCCAATGTTGGAAAACAGAATTTTGAGATGACAATTTGAGGCTCAATTTTGATTAAGACTCGCTTTGTGTTAGTTACGGTTCAACTTGGATTTATGTTCTCCTCTGAGAAGAGATCAAAATAATGTGTTAATATACTCAAAATAATAAATGAGTGAATGAGAAATTAACTCTTAAAGTGAAACTAAAATAAAAACTAAAGAAAACAAATGGAAAAACTGTCCCACATATGGGACAAATGGAACCATTGTCTCCTTCAGACCTTTTCGTAGCATTGTGTTTGGTACGAGAATTCGTGTCATAATTTGAATCATAGTTCGTAGCTCACTACAGTGTTTTCTTTCATAAAAAATACACGTAAATTGAGAATAATTTTGAATCCGTAAACCAAACGTCCACTAAAAATTCTACATCTTCAATTGTTGTGCGTCTTTGCTACTAGTAAGCCATTATATCTTGCAATATGGCCAACTATCCGTAATGTGGCCAATTCCCACAGACGCTTCCCTCATTGATGTATCAACCCAATCCAACTCTACCAACGAAGATGGATTTTCACAAGCGATTGACCTTTCTTGAAATACCGCCCCATGATGTTTCTAGAGAGGAAACCTTCATAAACACATAAGACAAGCGTACCCTAACAAAAAGAATTCAGTATGCCGACTGTGAATAATAATTGATATGAATAATAAATTATAATAAATAACTGTTAAATAAAAATTAAATTGTGTCTATCTCGTTTGAAATGTAATATACACAGAAGCCTATGGTGGGCCTGTAATTTTTCCCTATCGGGTGTAAAAAATATCAATCATCTGATTGTTTTTGTATGGCTCAAATTAAAAAAGATACCTCGATTAACCAAATTAAAAAAAAAGAAAAAGAAAAATAGAGACTTACAAACCAAATTTGGTTTTTGATTGAATGTTGGGTTGAGTATGATGTTGGAGGAGTGAAGCAGAAACTTAAAAATTTTTTTTTTTTTTTTTTTTTTTTTTTTTTTTTTTATTACGAATGTTGTTATAGTCACTTATTTTTATTACCTTAAAAACCTTTTCATTATGGGTCGAAATACCCGACCTCAACATGTCGTTATCATATTGTTTGAAAATCATGTATAACAATTCACGATACTAATGTACTGTTCGTTTCGCTAATTCGAATCATAATTTAAATTTTTATTATCGTATTTCATCTCATAAATATTTAAATTCAATTTTTCATGGGCAATTGATTGATGTTTTTTCGCCCTTTGCAATAAGGTTTGTTATATCAGCCTTACTTCACCCTTTTAGCAAGGCTTTTGACAAATTCACTTTATTAGGCGTCATTTTCATCATTCGAAGTATTCTTTTATTATAATTTTAGAAAGAAAAAAAACGTTGCAATTTTAAGATTTTTTTTTCCCTTGAAGAAAGTTGATATCTAAAGATGTGATGAGATAACTAATTAAATAATAAGCTCCTATAAGATAAAACTCAAATCAATTTGCCACCGAATCGGCTCTACTAAATATATATATATATATATATTTCTATTTGCTTCTAGTTGTTTGTTAACCTTTTTTTGTGTTTAGATTGCAGTTCCACGTAACCTACCATGTGAAGTTAAAAAAAAAAAAAAATTGTAGGTCTATTCCATACTACACTCAATTTTTTAATTTATTTTTTAATTTTTTTAAAAATTACTTGATTCGTTTTTTTTTTTCTCATTTTTTTCATGAGACATATTTAGCTCATTAACTTTATAGTTATCTTTTTTTATTATTTTTAAAAAAGATATAGTTATTCTTTTTATATGTACTAGTGTTGTAACGTGATCCGTACGTATTACAGTGTTAGAGACATATGAAACGTTTATTGTTTACTTAATAATAAAAGATTCATTTATACAATTATTTAAAGATTTTTAACTTTATAGATAACAATTGACAAAAAAAAAATTAAGCAGAGATACATTTAAAGAAAATTATTTTAACTAATAAAAAATAAAATAGGAACACATGTGAAAAAATTACTCTTATAAGAGTAAAATGAGGAATAATATATATTTTTTTGAATAAACAATATATAAAAAACACACAAACAATTAAAATGTAAAAAAATTTACAGAAAAAAAAATAAGTGAGGGACTGTCACGTGACAACCCTTAAAAAAGAGCTTTGACTCTTTCGATTAGATTAGAAATTATTTGCCAATTCTTTGCGTTAATGAAATTTTCCCTTTCATCCAATATATATATATATGTATATATATATATATATATATATATATATATATTAGACCATTTCAACGTTTGATTAATCTGATTTAACGAAGGAGGCTTTAATGAAGGAAAATCTGAATGAATGCACCTGTAGTAAGGGAGGAAAAAGAATTTTACTCATACTTTAAAATAAGATTTATGCATTTATTTTCTCCCTTTTCACGAGGGTTAACTTTTTTTTATAAAAGAAAAATGAAAATAATTTCTAAAGTTTTTTGGTTTACAGATCAAGAGAGTTTCCCTTCTCTATTAAAAAAAAAAAAAAAAAAAAAAAAAGGGAAAAAAGCTTCATGGGTCGGGTTTAAGCCCAGCTGAGTAGATGAGACAAACTGGGCTTGAAAGCGAAATACGGGCCTAAAATTCAACGACATGGACAGAAGATTCGTAAGAGTACTAGGGTTTTCGCTTGTATATATAAACGGCTCAATAGCGTATTTCCACTTCTCCTTTCTCTTCTTGATTCGTGTACTGTTGCTGCATTCCCCACTCAAGAGAGATAAAAGCCACAGCCACTTGGTGCAGTGACTCTCTCTCTATCTCTCTCTCTCTAATCTTAGGGATCATCGAATAGCTTCTTGGCTATGGCGGAGGAGAGGTCAACAGGGAAGGTCCGGTGGTTCAACGACTCCAAGGGATTCGGCTTCATCACTCCTGACGACGGCGGTGAGGATCTCTTCGTCCACCAATCCTCCATCAAATCCGACGGCTTCCGCAGCCTCGCCGAGGGCGATACGGTTGAGTTCCAGATCGCGATCGCCGACGACGGAAAGACCAAGGCCGTCGACGTTACCGGTCCCGGCGGATCCTCCCTGCAAGGGACAAAGAAGGGAGGAGGCGGCCGCGGTGGCGGATTCGGAGGTGGCGGATTCGGCGGTGGCGGATTCGGCGGTGGATGGAGAGGCGGCGACAGGCGAAATGGCGGCGGAGGCTCCGGCTGCTTCAATTGCGGCGATCCTGGTCACTTGGCTAGGGATTGCGATCGCGATCGTGGCAATAACGGAAACTTTGGCGGCGGTGGCGGCGGTGGAGGCGGCGGAGGCTGTTTCTCTTGCGGTGAGTTCGGACACATGGCGAGGAACTGTCCGAGAGCCAGCGGTGGAGCCGGCGGAGGTGTCGGCGGCGGAGGCGGCGGCGGCGGAGGCGGTTGTTACAAGTGCGGTGAGTTCGGACACTTGGCGAGGGACTGTAACAGAGGCGGCGGCGGCGGCGGTTCTGGTGGTTGCTATAATTGCGGTGAGTTTGGGCATATGGCGAGGGAATGCAGCAAGGCTAGCGGCGGCAGCGGAGGAGGCGGAAACTCCTGTTACAATTGTGGAAATCCTGGGCATTTTGCGAGGGAATGCCCTGATGCCGCTTGATGAATGAGAAGAACTCAAGAAGAAGACGAAAAGAAAGAGAGTAATAGTACATATTTCTCTTTTTTCTTTTTTTGCTTTACTTTTATCCCTTTGGTTGTTTAATCTCTTTGTTTATTTTGGCTCTATGGTGGTTTATACATAGGATGATGCCTTTTGCTCTCCAGGGATTTTTTTTTTGCTTTGGTTGGTTGGTTTTGATGATTCGCTGCTTTGTGAAAGCGAAATTTTCCAGTTTACACACACAGATATATAATGTGGTGGTTCGTTTAGAGTTTCAGGCCTTTTTTAAGGAAAAAAAAAAAAAAAAAAAAACATATCTTGTTCAGTTACTGATATGTTGGATAAATTTCGAATGGATCTGGTTTAATCTTCAACTGTGAATATTTGTGTTGTGTTGCATTGCATTGTTCTTTTATTGTTGTACTAATTTAGATTAGCCCCTTTTGATCCTTTGGTAAATGTAATTGATGCACTACCATTTATCAAATCATATATATATACATATATTTTGTGATTTTATCACAGCCTAGCTATTGGAATATTTGGTTGGGTTATCTAATGACAATAACAAAACAGATTTATTTGGGACCAAGTTGCACTAGGAGCTTTATAACAGGGGATAGTATTTGTTATGGAATTGGGGCTATCTTATTTATTTCCGAAAGTTATATCCTTTAACTCTCTTGGCTTTTAGTTTCATGAAAATCTTTATAACAGGGGATAGTATTTGTTATGGAATTGGGGCTATCTTATTTATTTATTTGAATTTCTAACATCTAGGCTTACTTGTGATATAAACTGATTGATTTTGATTTAGAACTTTAAAATTCCACAGAAAGAGAGGTCTCTATCAAAAGCTAGGAAAAACCTTCTTCTTTATGAAGAGGTGATTAAAGTTCGTAAATCTCATGTTGTTATCTGAAATCTGGATTTTTTCTATATGAAATGGAGATGATGAAACTCAGATTCTGCAAGTTATGCTTTATATCAGCTGTAGATATTACTTTTCATATTAGGAGCAGTACCAAAAACTTCGAAAAACGTTTCCTTCAAAAACGGTGATTACCTATTTGTTTTAGGCATTTGAAATCATGATTGTTACAATCTACTTATTTCACTTATTTGAAATCATGATTGTTATAGTACTTTTTCGTGTTAGAAAATTTAAAAAGTTCCCACTAATAATGTTCTCATAAAATTTAAATTTAGAATGAATCAAAATCGCTGAACAGTTTTGTCACAATTTAAATTTAGGATCAAAATTGGTGAACGCCTGACCAAACGGACCACTATGATTTGAAAATATATTAGTAAATTACGGTTTGAGCATCTATGATTTGTAAATAAGCCTTTTTTGCTGTTTGGTTTTGGTTTCGTATTGGTTTTTCTTTTTTATTCTTTCTGTATGAGTCGGAACGCAGTGGGTTTCTAGCTTAAGCACGACATTTGCCTTTTTTAATGTTTGTGGCCCAAGTATCAATTCTTTTTTTCTTCTTTGTGTGGAAATGGTGGTAAATAACAAATTTATAAAACTAAATCTAAGTAAATAGTATATTTTAAAATAAATAACAGTTCATAGATGTTTTATATGTAACTGGTAAAAATAATTTATGTGATGAAAAATCGTTATTTACGTGGAAAAAAAATTGTTTTTTAGTTTTAAAAAAAATAAAAATTATGTGAAATTTTGTTTACTAATCATAAATTTATTTAAAATAATTTTAAAATTTATTATTTATTTTAGGATAATTTATATAAATGGTCTTTAACCTTTTTGATAAGTGATAATTTAGTCTTTAATTTTTTTTTTGGGCAAAGTGACCTCTAATCTTTTTAAATATGTGTAATCTAGTCCTTTAAATTAAATTTTGTTAAATTTTTAACAGATTTTCACATGTGAACATCGTGGCTTCTTTTTTAATTAAAAGACAAAAATGCCCTAAGGGCAATCTTCTTCCTCAGCTTCCACAGAAACCAAGAAATGCTAGATCCGGCAATGAGTTTTTTGTTCAGTCGGATGTTCTCTTCCCTGTTCGGCAACAAAGATATTAGGATTTAGGTTGTCGGTGACCATATTCTCCCACATATACAAAATTTTCCCAAACCAAGTCTTTGTATTTTGGAAAAAATAAGAAAACTAAGCAATGCTCTGTCTCCATGTATCTTTGAACAAACAGATCAAAAAGCTCAATATAGAAACCATGAATTAGAGATATCAGTCGGTCCGATGCGAAAATTCCTCCATCATCATCGTTCCCAACATCTTCTTCGTAGGATTTTCCATTTTAATCGAAGAGTCCGCCAGCGGCAGGATCGTGGTGGAGGTGGGTTTGGTCGTCGCGGTTCCCTTGCCGACGCCCGGGCAGCTGAGGAAACACCCAATGGACGTCGTTTCTCCCGTTGGGCTTTCGCCGGAGAGGACAGAAGAAGAAGATGAGGTACCGAACAACGAAAAAAGACCAGGGAATTCGAGGAAGAAGAAGAAGAGTAATTAAGGGCAATTTTGTCTTTCCACTATAACACAGGGGTCACGTGCATTATCCCGTTATTGTTTAGACGGAAATGACGAGATTACACTCGTTTAAAGAAATTGAAGTCGTTTTATTTAAAAAAAAAAAAGCTAAAAATTAAACTGTTACCTATTAAACAAATTAAAGACCATTTATATAAATTAGTATTTTATTTTATTTAGTTTCATCAATCTCTCAAGGTACGTCGGTTTCTTATATTCGTTATCAGAAACGATTTGAATCATAATTTATAATTTTTTATAGTATTTTTTTTTAAAAATATACACGTAAAATAAAAATAATTTTAAATTATGATTCTAAATACGTAAACTAACCTTATTTACTGCATTCTCTCTGTTTCCTTCCTCATTTACACTTTTTTCACATAGGCCCACACCCCAATAACAAGTTGGAATTGCGATTGCGTGGTTGGTACTGTGGAGAGAAGGTTGAAGCCATGGGCCATGGTTTCTCCATTTAGGTTTGTGGGCTTGGGCTTGGGAGTGACAGAATCTGTGGTTAAGAGGCAACATCGGACCGGGCTTACTCGATGCGAAAATTACTGAACCTAATCCTTGAGTTAATGGGTCTCAAATTTTATCTCTCTCAGTTTATATTCTTGTAGTTATTTGATTAAAATGATATTAATAAATAATAAAATGTAAAAATTTAAAGTCATACACTTAATGATATATTTTTTTATATATTTATTAGTTGAAGAACGCGTGTTATGTATGTGAAGAGTAATCGTGTATTAAATTTTAATTATCGTGTTATTAATAAAAAACTTATAAAAGCCTAAAACGAAACTAAAATTAAAAAAAAAAGTTTTATGGCAAGTTGGGGGGGGGGGGGGGGGCAAAAAAAAAAAGTGTGGGGGGGTGGGGGGGGGGGGGGGACTAAAATGAAAGGAGAACAAAACCTTGGGGAGCAAAACAAAAATGTAGCAATGCGGGGGCTGTTCACTACTGTAGCGTTTTCAACCAAAACGACGACGTTTTGGTTGAAAAATGCATGAACATTACCCAGAAAGAATTGAGACACTTTTTACATATAGATAGATAAAGAGTGATGGTCAAGTAAACATTTATTTACGCTATAAAATTATATAATAAATATTATAGTGCATTTAATTATTGTCATTTGTACCATATTTTGAAACCTTTTGTTATATTTCATTATTTCAACTAATAATGCCTTTCTTACTCACCCATGAATTTACCATCTTGATATCTGTGATTTTTGACAACTCTGTATTTCGATAATTTTATTGAATTATCTCATCCTATATAATATAGATCAGAGTATTATCCTGATATCTTAAGGTTTTATGATTTTGTGCCCTCACAATCAAAAAATGTATAAAAAGAATATAAAATTAAAAAAAAAACTGAAATATAAAATGTAAAGAAAAAAAAAATTATTATGTTTCCTTCCATTCTCCTTTTCTTCTATTCTGTATGCTTTTCTTCTATAGTAATTTTTTCGTTTAAGAGCACAGATTTTTTTGCCTCAATACATCTTCTATTTAAGTATAAGAAAAGAATCACTATTTAAACCAATGGCTTTGTGAAAAAATTTTATAGTTGCACAAACTTTTGTCTTAATATTCCATCCAATATTCATTAATTCACACTTTTATAAAACAAGAAAGAAATTTAACAAGAGTTTGAAGTGATTCTGATTAGAGGCACGTCTAAACAAAAGTTTTGGGCTCCTTATAGAACTTTCACAATCATACGGACTTTTTTCTTACACAAGAATTTAACTAGATTTAGAAACCAATATCTGAAGTGCTTTTGACCGGAGCAGTTTATTCGATGTGCTTCTACTTGGAGCAATTTTAAAGCTCTGATCTCCTTATAAGCCTCAACTTTTTGTGTTTGTCAAAAAGCCTTTTTGCGTTGATTAAGATTTCGTTCATTTTACCAATTCGAGTTTTGTTACAGTAAAAAACTCTCAGAAACAGTCACATCTAATTTTTTTTGTTACAGTTAAAAGTTCTCAGAAACAGTCACATCTAATTCTTTTTGTTACAGTAAAAAGCTTTCACATAAAATCACATCTCAATTCGAATCAGCAAATTAAACGGGGTATGTAGGAGTTGCTTGTATTATATCTTTGTATATTCTTTCGTCCATTAATAGCCGATTAATAGTTTGATACCAAAATTGCCGTGCGTACAAGTTGTACAAGTAATGTGGAAATGAAGGCATTTTATAAACTATTGGTCTTAATCTTGGCTTTGTAGCGTTTTCTTCAATCCTGTTTTAGAGAAGCCATTTTCGTGTTGAACTATGTATTCCAAGACTTAACCAATGAAAGGGGTTTAATTAAGGTCTTAATTATGGGTTTAATAAAGGTCTTAATTGTTAATTAAATTGCTTGCCCGGAGGAAAGCAGCTAATGTTGCTGTGTCCTATATTGTTTCCTTTTGTTTTTGCTGCTTCTAAGGAAGACAGAGATATTGATAAAGAACCTCTTGAACTTTTCCAAAAGACGAATGTCTCAACTTGTTTCCTTTTTTATTGATGTTGACAAATGTCTCAAGTTGATTTTTAATGGACAAAAGCCCCATTTCTTCAAATGGAACCATTTTCTCGTCGATCTACTCTGTGGAGAACCTTGTCTATTTGATGATTAACTCAAGTTACTTAACTCTATTTGTTACCTTTTGCCCTGGAAGGTTATAAAGGGTGCGTTTAGAATTTGTTTCAATATGATTTTATTTTTTGTATGAAAATAAATATGAAAACGTTTTCAATCTCAGATAAAAATTATTTTTAAAAATACATGTAATAGTTTTATTAAGAGATTATTTTCAGTGTAAAAAATCTATTAATGTATTTCTTTCTCTTTCTCTGCTCAAGAGAGGAGAAAATGAAAACAAAAAATGAAAATGACTAAAAGTCGTTTTTCATTTCTCTTTCATTTTACACTAAACTAAAAAATAGTTTTCATTTCTCATTTTTATTTTTATTGCGTCAAATGCCGTTTTGAAAACGTTTTCATTTTTTCTTTTTCAAAAAACGTAAAAAATAAAAAATGAGATCAATTCTAAACATAACCATACTATCACAGGTAATCGCAGTTAATTTTTAACTTTAATCTCGTAGGGTAAAAATTGTTTCGATTTGTTTCCTAATCTTTCAACTTAAAAAGGGGACAAAAACGTCGAGCTTATCACAAGGTTTTGATACTTCATGCACTAAAACATCATTTTTAATACGATTTTAATCACGATATTTGTATTTAGATATCGGACCACTTAAAAAGCCAAAACCAAAAGGTGGAAAGAGTTATATCCCACAACTCGAAACAATGGTAACGTTGACCGCGTCATTTGTCAGACTTTCTTCAATTTCTAGTTTGACACACCTGATCCATCCTAAAATCCTCAAATCCAAGCAACAACTATAAGCTACCTTAGACAGGAAGGGAGAAAAAAAAAAAAAAAAAAAAAAAAAAAAAAAAAGGAGAAAAAAAAACGACAAAATCATATCACACCCACCCAAAAGTGGTTTTTAAAAAATAAAACAAATATCCATGAACATGTGCTCAAGATGTCGGTTTTGCGCTCTATCTGACAGATTCCTGGCATTTGAATTATGAGCCATAAATTCTGCAAACTTGGAATCTCATGCATGGTTCCAAGACACCATATCTTCCGACTATCTTTTTTTTTTTTTTTTTTTTTTCTCTTTTATAATATTTTACTCTTAAATTCATCAATATGGACTTTCTCTTCCCATCCTCATGTCTTACGTGATAACAGAACAGTTGCAAGTTGCGGCCAGTAATGACAAAAAACGACACCATTGCCGCCTTTTCTCGCAGCAAGCGGCGTAAGCATTTTGCCTTCACGTGCTCAGCCATCACGCGGGCCCCAAAGCCACCATATCATGTCTACATTCCCCCACCTCCCCTCGACATGACACCATCCACAACTATAAATAGCCCATCTTTCGTAGAACCATTCTCTTTTCATTTAACTCTACAATTTCTTATTAGTATTTTTCCTTCTTTCTTTTACACTTCTATAGTTCCATTCCATACATTTCTCAATCTCAACTTATGGCTTCCTTTCAAGCCGCCTTCTTTTTTGTCTCCCTTTCCATCTTCCAATTATTTGCAGGTACTCACTCATTTTTGCATGCGCTGATCAGCTCATTGTGTTGTTTTAAATGTAAAATTTTAAAATTGTGTCTTGTATTTTTACAGGCGTTTATTCAGCAACGTTTACAATAACAAATGAGTGTAGCTATACTGTGTGGCCAGGTATTTTATCTGGTGCCGGTACTGCCCAGCTCTCGACCACTGGATTCGCCCTCCAACCGGGCCAATCCAACACCCTGGACATCCCGAGTGCATGGTCGGGCCGTCTATGGGGACGAACTCTATGCTCTCAGAATGCCACGGGTAAATTCACTTGTGTCACCGGCGACTGTGGCTCCTCCAGAGTAGAATGCGCCGGCACCGGTGCAATTCCGCCGGCGACCCTGGCGGAGTTCACCCTCAACGGCGCCAACGGCCTAGATTTCTATGACGTCAGCCTCGTCGACGGCTACAACCTCCCCATGATGGTGGTTCCACAGGGCGGCACCGGTGCGGGAAACTGTACGGCGACTGGGTGTGTGGAGGACTTGAATCCGTCGTGTCCGTCGGAGCTCAAGGTCGTGCAGAGCGACGAGGGCGTCGCGTGTAGAAGCGCGTGTGAGGCGTTTGGGGACCCGCAGTATTGCTGCAGTGGGGCCTACGGGACCCCCGATGCGTGCAAGCCTAGCGCGTATTCTCAGTTTTTCAAGAGTGCGTGCCCAAGAGCTTACAGTTATGCTTACGACGACGGAACCAGCACATTCACTTGTGCTTCCGCCAACTACGTCATCACTTTCTGCCCTTCTCCTTCCCGAAGGTAATCTATTTTTTTTTTTTTATAGCTATGATTAGTAAAAAAAAAAACAACAAAAAAAAAAAATTCATATTAATGTACATTTTTAATCAAATTCTATTGAGTAAATATTGCTAATTTTAGGCGTTACATTGATCAAATCACATAATAATTAGGATTGATTTGTTGTATGTTTTTCTTCTTTGAAATTTTGAAGGTCGGTTTGGATTTGTGACTTGTGACCGACTTTGATTTTTTTTTTTTTCCCTTCGATCGTTTCTAGGTGTGAACAAACTCAGATGCGTATTGCTTACCTCAAAATTTTTTTTTTTTTTTAAAGTTCAAAGATTGTGGTTATCACGTTTCTTTCTTATTTTAAAGTGGAAAATATGTAATATAACGAATTATTGGATTTTTGGTGCAATTATAAGTTATTTAATTTCAATATTATTTGTTGCGGCGGTGTGGGTGCAGCTTGAAGTCGTCGAATGGGCAAGTGGAATACCCCGCGGCGTTGCAAGTCTCCGCCGGTTTTCGGGAAACGACGCCAAATCTCTTTGGCTGTCCCGCCGCTGCCGTATTGGCGGCAATTTGGGGGCTACGACAGCTATTTTGACCCTCTCAACTCCATTACCAGGCTGGCATTGACAGTCTTTTAAAAGGCGCAACTTGCAATTTGTCACTCTTGGGAATATAATCGTCACACGTACGACAACATACAAAAGCTGCCACAAAAGAGTGCCTCGAGGACATTAGCGAGCACCCAATTCTTATATTAATTGACGGTGTTTAGTATCGTTTAATGCTGAAGGTGATAGAATAGCAAATTTGGAACTTTTTCTTACTTCTTTCTCTTGGCGGTTGTGAGCTGAATCTGGACCCCAAAGGAGGAATATTGGGGCCCACCTGTTATGATTTTTAACCATTTGGTTTGCAATTTTTTGAAATGACGGATGATTGGCTATGGAATTTTGTCCAATTATTGGAGCCTCCGGTGAAAGCCTGCATGGTTGTTGTTTTCGTAGAATAATATTTCTGGTTGGGAAAAATTAGTTCTTACTTCTTAGACAGATGTTTGGTAAATAGAGAGTAGGAATCGTAAGATCAAATCAAGTGAACGTTTAGTTCATAAATTTAAAATTATGATTCAAAATCATTTTTATTTTACGTGTATTTTTTTATAAAAAAAATATTATAATAAATCACGAACTATAATTTAAACTATAGCATAAATCTCCATTCTAAATGCACGTAATAATTTTGTAAAGTAAGCACCGTTTTGGAGAATATCATTAATGAATTGAAATCTCTCCAAAGTTGTGTCCACCTTTTTTGTTTTTATACTTGTATGATAGGTCATAGTATTAGCATATGCTAGTTTCATTTTTTTTTTTGCTGAATTAAAAATAGATCGTTAATGTCACTCTGTATTTTATTCTCTTTTTCGCTAAATTAAAAATAAACCATTAATATTAAAGTCACTTATTTAGGCTCCGTTTATTTCACTGATTTAAATTTTGAATTTGAGTTTTGTTACAGTAAAAATTTTTCAGAAACAGTCATATATAACTTTTTTACTACAGTAAAAAGCTCTCACATAAAATCACGTATTAACTCAAATTAAAAACTCAAATCAAAAAATTAAATGGATCTAAATCACTCTCTTTATTCTCTTCTTGCCACATGTCATTTCAATTTCAGTAAAATTGAAGCATAATAATAAACCATTTTCCTCCATTTTATTACAAGTCTGCCACATATACGTGTAACCATAAAAAGTCGTATATGTGGACTTATAACCATAAAAAAAATCGTAGACTCATACATATACGTGTAATAACGATTACAATAATATGTACAAGTTTTAAGGGTCCGTTTAGTTCGCTGATTCGAGTTGAGATGTGATTTTATCTGAGAGTTTTTTACTGTAGTAAAAAAGTTAGATGTGATTGTTTGTGAGAGCTTTTTACTGTAGCAAAACTCGAATTCTAAACTCGAATCAGCGAAATGAACGAGGCCTAAGTGTTCATTTTAAACAAACGTTATATATATAAATATATACATTATACGCTTATATAAATATATACATTATACGCTTGTAAGATTATAAAATAATAGAATTAGTAATATTGTAATAGATTATAAAACAAACTTTCATGATTATCTTTTTATTAATAAAGAACAATTGTGGTAAAATTGTAATAAAATATAAAATAATGGTTTATAGTTATGCTTTATTTTTATTTAAAAAAGAAATGACATGTGGTAAAAAGAAAAAGATAGTAAGAAAGTGAGTGACAAAATAAGTGATACTTCACTTTGTTTTTATACTTGTATGATAGTTCATAGTATTTGCATATGCTAGTTCCACCTTTTTTTCGCTAAAAAATAATAGATTATTAATGTCATCACGTATCTTATTTTTTATTTTTTTTAAAAAAATTGTGAGATTCATTATAGAACAAAAATGATCCGATTCAATTTTACTTTGATCTATTCAAATTTACTTGAAAGATAGTGTGACTTATCTTTTTTTTTTTAAAGTTAATTATCTTTTTTAAATTAATTAAGTTATCGTTGAAAAAGCTACTAGATGCGATCAATTTAATTTCTAAAAGAAACAAATGCATAACAACACAAGAGAAGTTATTTTGGTTGGCAAAGAGAGCGTCACCCGATGCTCTGGCAAAATGGGTTTCTACATTTTATTAAGAGAGAAAGAGGGAAATAGGCCAAGATTTGAGATGAATTAAAATTAATAGGTCAATAATTTACATTAGTTAATAAATAGGTCAAATTACTGTTTTCGTCCATAACTTATCTGATTATGAATCATAACTTAACAAGTTATTGTCCATAATTATCCATAACTTGTCTGGCTATGAACCATAATTTGACAAGTTATAGCATATTAATTTCTATAATTAAAAATTGACCTATATACTTTTTTAAGCTTTTTATATTAGTCTATTTTCTACTATTTCCCTTTTATTAATATGTGGTCACTTTCCAAAATTCAAATAGTAAAAAAGAAAAAAGAAAGATGTAATTGTTTTCTCACTCTTGGCTTGCATCACTAGTGCCAAGGAGATCATGAGTTAGTATTAATCCCTTCTTTTTTTTTTAGCATATATATATTCATAAGTTATTTATATACTTTATAGTTATTAATGTGATAATGTTCTATCTCCTTTGGCTTGTTTTAACGGCCATTAATATTTAATTAGAGGACTAATTATATATGCGTGTGGGATTTGATGTCATGTAAAAGTTGCATTATATATATATATATATTATTCATTTCAGATCCATCTTCAAATTATTGAGTCTCATTTTATGAATTTTTAATTGCAAGTATGGTTTTTATGCTAACTGCAAGCATCATGCTTGAACGTGCTTAATTAGCTTGCAACTAATAATTAGTATCCTATGCCAAACGACACCTAAATAAAAACAACATGATCAGTGCATGCAGCCCCATGCGTGATCGATAATTAATGGCAATTAATGGAGAAACAAGGAACCCACAGTACAATTTATATTAAAGACAGTTATATTTGAAACCATATATATATATATAGACTTATTTTTAATGATTATATTTTCATCAGTGGTTACCATTAAATATGTAAATTTGATAGTTTTTAATGTTTATGTTTTGATTATATTGGCATGCTAAGAATTTAATTTCATTAAATGTCATGCATTTTTTTAATCAACTGCTTAATTTATTACAATCATCTAATAATATTACACGGTTAAAACAATAACATCCATTTGATAGATAAATATTAGAGTAATTAATAAAACATGTATATATATAAGTGTTACATATAGTAGAGCTTGGGGACAATATATATTATTCGTCCCAACGTATTTTGGAGTCTGCTTAAAAAGAAATATTGATGTGATCTAATCGTAGTCTTTGACAAAGGAAGAGCAACATTTTTAATTTTAATTTGTCATTTATAAAGATTAATTTATGAGGGAAATTGATGGATACATGGTGGGAATTGCATGAAGCAGGCATGTTGCTTATTGATTCACACGCCAGATATACAAATGGATCTCTAGTACTCTACGTAATAATGATATTAATAATTAATAATAATGATGATGATAATAAGGAAAATAAATAAATTTTAAAGTTTATGAATCTGGATTTTTACCCTTAAATTCTTGATTAATATTATTTTTAGTCAAATAATTATATTAGTTAAAAGAGTACTAATCAAGAATAATAGGTAAAAATCCAGACCCGTGCGCTCTAAAAATAAGTTCAACAATTTTCTCTGATAAATAAGAATAATAATTATTATTGTTATTGTTAATATCATTACTATTATAAGATCAAATTAATGGAAAATTAGACTTTATATGAATTTGGACTTTCATTTTAAGTAAGGTGGTTCAATATCCGTATAAATTGATACTTACTCTGAATTTTACATGATTTTATATTTAAATGATTTGAGATTTGGGTTTGTTTTTACCCTTTACACGAAGTACACATTTTTTTATTTACATTAAGGCCAACGTCTCAAATAATGACGTTGATTTATCAAGTCGTTGGCTTCATAATTAATCATGCTCATTTGATGTGATATGTTTTAGTGGGGAAAGCCAAGTAGATAAAAAATGATAATGTTTTAGACCAGACATTTGTAAGAAAACGATCGTTCGACAGAAAAATCTTCCAATATATGAACTATGATTAATTAATGTTTGTTTTGTGAAATAGGACACATCAGAAGCTGCTAATACGAATTTGTCACAATCAATTAGGACGGCAATTTGCCCCCGAGGGATGGTGGAATAGATTAAGGCGGCTTTCCAGACCTCATTTGAGACACTAAAAATTGAATGCATAATCTAATTTTATTTTTATTTTTTTTATTTAAAATTAAGTTTGGTAGGAAAGAGAGAAAAAATATAAGGAGAGGAAAAGAAAATGAAATAGTTTTTTTTTTTTTTTGGTTATTTGGTGTAAAAGGGAGAGAAATTAAGCTATTGTATAATTACTATTTTACCTTCTTGTTTATGATATTTTGATTGAAAATGAGATTAAATAAGTAATTATATCTTATTTTAGGTCATGTTATAACTTTTTTCTCTCAAATTCTCTTCATTAGTGAAGGAAATTAATATGGCGGGTCCCAATAAAAATTGAAAAAGATAAAAAAAAAATTGAGTGCTGTTAAGAAAATAGGGTGATTACATATTTGCTCCATGAATTGTAGGGTTTTAATAACATGCCCTTGTAACTTCTAATCTTAATAATATGCCCATTTAATTTGCAAGTTATTACAATTTGTCTTATTTTATCCACTCTGATTTAATTTTTTGTCAGATTTCAGCGATTGAGAGTTAAAAAAATAGAGAGATTTATTTTATCGTTTGAATTAAAATATTGAAATTTTTTAACGAACATCATTTTTCACTATCTATTTAACACAACCATCGTCAAATCAGCACGCGCATTACAAAACTACTGCAACAATGTTGCAAAGGGGAAAATTGCCTAAGCACTAAGCAGTCTATATTCCTATATCACTAGTCTACATTGATCTGGTTGGACCGTCCAACATATTTTTAATTCTTAATTCCAAAAAGTTGAAAAAGAAAATCGAGTAAGACCCGTATTAAGACTATAAATTGTGTACGTAAACATTATATATATATATATATATCTGTGTGTGAACGCTTACCTTCAAGAAATTAAGGGATATGGTATTTAAATCGTACATTGGTTAGATTATCCACTAATAAAGATTAACGAAAGACAAACTGACTAGATAACAATTTGCTTTATTTTACAAAATGTCTGCGGCTGGATAAAAAGGTTGAGGATTAAACAATACTGCAAATTACACCTAGAAATCTTCTGCAATTGGCTGCTAATTGACCCCTGCTGCCTAACCCTTTTTATCGTATGTCTTTCTTCATATTCATCCACTTTTTTTAATTAAAAAAAAAAAATTAACTTTTAGCATTCCACATATCCTAATTATGTCATTCTTTCTTTATTTGCCTCTAACTTTCTTTATGGTGGAAGAAAGTAAAGATGATCAGTTATAGTTATTTTTACCGGACAAGACTAAAAGAGACCGCCTTAT